TTAACCAGTGGAACAACCTGCCTCCAGAAGCGGTGAATGCTCCAACACTGGAAGTTTTTAAGAAGAGACTGGACAGCCATTTGTCCGAAATGGTATAGGGTTTCCTGCCTGAGCAGGGGGTTGGACTAGATGACCTTCAAGGTCCCTTCCAACTTTACTACTATTATTATTATTATTATTATTATTATTATTATTATTAACTACGGTAATTATATGACAGAAAATCGAAGTTATTTTTGGTAGGAAATCTGAGGTTTTAAAAAAATAACCATACCATATAGTAATGATGAGTAAAAAGGTAGGTAAAGGTTTCCCCTGTCCAGTCGTGTCTGACTCTAGAAGGTGGTGCTCATCTCTCTTTCTTAGCTGACAGAGCCAGCATTGTCCAAAGATGCGTCTGTAATCATGTGGCCAACATGACTGCACGCCTAGGTGCACAGAACGCTGTTACCTTCCCACCGAAGCGGTATTTGCTATTTACTCGCATTTGCATGCTTTTGAACTGCTAGGTTGGCAAGAGCTGTGGCAGATAATGAGAATTCCAAACGCTGTGCAGTGCTCAGATCTCGAACTGAGTCTATCAGCTTTCCAGCTGATAAGTTCAGCATCTTTAACCACTGAGCCATCACACTCCCTTCTATATACTAGATGTCTACTCATCTTGCCCTTCTGTTTAAGAATGTTCTTGCTGTAATATGTGAAATATTGATGAATATGAAAATGGTACTTGTTCTGTTATTGGTTATAACTTTTTTTTTTTTTAGCAAAAAGTAATTACATTTCTGGTTAAAATGAAGAGATATAGAATTTTTACTTATTTTTATTTTATTTTTTATTAAGATGAAGATAAAACCATAATAAAATCACCATAATACAGAGCCATAGAATTGCACTGAGATAGATGTTATAATTCAGTATCTAAGGAAGCTTCACAATGGTATACCTCCACAATACCCAGGGCAACATTCTATCTTAACTGAGCAGCTAAAAGTTTATACACCAACCAGATATTCCATCAGTCACTGTCAAAAGCTACAGAGGCAGCAATTAGACTATATAAAAAAATGATTAGGAAGTTATCAGTTTGCTTGAATTTTGTTTATATATAACACTTATAATGAATATAGTATATGGTGCAATTTCCTTCCTTTTAAAATGTTATAGTAGATGAAAAGAAAGGAAAACCACAATATACAAGATGGTATGTAAAAAACAAATAACAAAATAAAAAAGAAAGTTTGTTTTCTTTCTTCCTCTTAATCCAAGTAATGCTATTTGACAGAAATTACCCTTTAGTTTATATTATTAGAAATATAGAAGGTGCATTTACTCAAGAAACAGCAAACATTGTACATTCACATTTCATGGTAATTTAATAATTTAAGTTAAAAATATGTGTGGCAAGTTACTCCTATTATGAACATCTCTTTAGCCAAGTTTTGTATTTTACTTTAACACCCAAAACCATGATGGTATACATGTTGTATTTCAAGAAAACAGACTCACCCAGTAGTGGCTCATAAAACAGGAAGCCACAGTTTAGTTAAAGAACATTATATAATAAGGGTAGTTATAAAATGGCATTTAGCTTGTGCTTTTTAATGAGCTTTTTTAATGTATTGAACAAACACAGTTGAAAGGTAGAATTGAGCAAAAGGCAGTCAGCAAATCAGGCAAACTAAATTCAAGGTTTGTATGACTGTGCAGTGTGTTTTAGAAGCTGCTTCTTACTGGCTCAGAGGAGTAAGGTACTCTGCTTAATCTACAGGTTATAATAAAAAAAGAAAGAGCAGCAATTGCTCAGTTATCTATTTTTCTTTCTGGAACAATAAAAGAGCCAACTGTAAAATTATTTGTATTAAAAAAATAACTGATATAAAAATATGATCCCAGTGCAAAGAACAAGTGGATTTCCAGATGTTGCTGAAGAACATTAAGCAATGTAAGTATTCTAACCTAGCAAAATCCGGGGATTTTCAGTAACTGGACTACTGTATTCTCAATGTTTTTCCTCATCTTAAACACAGAATACAGTACCAGAGATTTTACTTCTTAAGCAAGCAATTGATTATATATCCTTTACTGTTTCTCAAATCAATTTAGTTTACTAAATTACAATTTAGTAATCAATTTAGTTAATGTTAACTAAAATGAAAGATAAAAAAGAGACAAGGATTTTGAGTCCACTTTTCATAAAGGGCAGAAATAAAAGATGTGCTATTTCAGTTATCCCAAAGATGCTTTTTCATGAGGCAACTCAACTTTGTTTTACTTTGAAGATGTTTTGCTTCTCATCCAAGAAGCTTCTTTAGCTCTGACTGGATGGTGGGGAATGGAAAGATTTATATTCCTACAGACAGCTGACAACTATCTCAATTGAACTCCTGCTATTGTACAGTATTGTTTCTAAGTCATGAGTGGTCAACTCGATGGTGCAGAAAGTTGAAAAGAATCTGTTTGTTTTAAAGACACAGAAATCAGTTTTTTTCCATTCTCCAAGAAAACAAAAAAATTCAAACCTTTTCAAACCCCTATATGACTTATTATCTCTACAGGGTACCATTAAAGCCAATTTTAACGTCAGGGATGCATAGAGATTGCACTTTGATTTCAACACTAGCTAACGCAGGGTTTGGTTTCCGATCATTTCTGAAATTTTCTCTTTTTGAAGTTTTAAAATGTTTCTTTCTGGGGTTTGATGACCACAGACTAGCACGACTTTCCTCTTATAATATACGAAAGAAAACGTGTATGCCTTGCTGAAGAAATAATCTAATTGCCCTTTCGCTGCATAGATGCTTACAAGTATTTTCTTGCAGTTTTTTCCTGCGGAGGGACCTTAATTATTTCAATGCTCTGCAACAACTACAATAGAAAAAAAATAAATAAACCGCTTGGTTGACGAATTTTTTGAGTTAATTGTTAAGCACGTGCTCTACTCATGAAAGGCATCGCCAGGAACCGGAAGGCGAACTTTTGAAGCCTTTTCATTTCATACGGAGGCATGAAAACCCGGAAGCGGAAGTGGAATACTTGACAGCCGTGCTGCTGCTGCTGCTACTGCTACTGCGTGAGGAAGAGAAGCTCGAGGTCGCTTGTTTACAAGGTTCCTATCTGGGGGTTTATTCTTGTCGTCGCCGAAGGAAGCTTTCCCGTCTCTATGCTTTCTGTCTTGGAGTTGACGCCGCCATTATGATGCCTGTCTTCAAAAGCAGCCGCCGCGACTTTGCTTTCGGGCCGTGGAAGCTAACGGCCGCTCGGACCCACATCATCAAATCGGCCGATGCCGAGAGGTGCGATTGAGGGTGATTGTTTGGGGGGGGGGGAAATCGGGCGACCCCTGTAAAGAGGGAAGGGGTCGAAAGGACTCTGGGCTGGCCGCTTGCCTTGCGCTCGCTACTTTTAGCCTGGAGGTCTATGGAGATTCTCAGTCGTCCAGGTGATAGTTGTCCCAAAGATGCTTTTTCACGAGTCAAAGAGGCCATCCGTGTCAAAACTGAACAGCCCTCTCTCAACAGAGGGGGAGGGATCCGACATCATCTATCTCCTGTCTACAACACAGTCCTTTCAATAGATCCAAGAAGGCTCCACATCCATTTGCATGTCTCAGGTGACCCTAGCAGCACGGATAAACCTCCAGGTGGCTTCAACCACTCTCTAAAAGAATGCAAATGACCAGCTGTCTG